GAACCTACAATATCATACTTTTACTCCAGATTGTCCGGCAATGTCGCCGGTCCCAGTCACCCTGGTGCTGCCCTATCATCAGTTTAGCCATCGGCAGTTGATCTGCCACGCCGATCAGCAATTTAGAAGATCATGTAAACTTCACTACTCCAACAGAAATAGTCGCCATAATAAAAAAGGACGCGATGGAACGATTAGTGTATAGAATATCGAAAGACAAATTTCAGTCAATCAAATAGTTTCTAAGACCATTTATTCTTTCAGGTCGCGGAGGTAGAAGCGGAAACAGCATCTCCTACTTCCAATTTTTATCACTGATGGAAGATAACGTCAGTCTAGAGCAGACTATGTCGAGAAATTTGATCTAGATCATTCTTGATTTATCTCAGACTGGCTCGAAATTAAGAATGGTGTCGAATATGGCGACATACTCTCTCTTTTGCTTTTCAGAGTAGTAGTGGAACGTCTTCGACGAAATTAAGCATAGCCCTACTGAAAGGATAAACTGTGGTTGTAACGGAATCGAAACTAAGGACTCCTGGCGAAACATTCAAACGGACCTAAACTATGCTGAACCTATTGTGATGCGATGCGACATGCCGTTGATTTACTAACTGCAGCTGGGTGCAAAGCTACAACGAAAATCAGCATCCAGCTCAACCATTAAGAACATGATGGTGATGATGAATATCCAGGTAGGACAACGAAACCCGAGGTAGTCACCATGCCAACGATGATGACGGTGTTCAAGACCAATATAGGAAGATTACGATGACTTTCTCAACTTTCATGAACCTTTCAAAACGTCTTGTTTTTAAATGGAATAGCAGACTCAACCGATGGCCAGCCATACCATGTTACAATCAGATCGATTTTAACAGACTGGAAGGACTGACCTTGCAAACGTCCACAACACGACCATCAACTGAACTGCGCGTATCGCCATTCGTCATGAAATCTGCTGAAATTCAAGTGATATTGACGCATCAGAAATGGTTGCGATTTGTCATTAGCTTACTTCACAAATATCCCCTGCGTGCGGAACACAACGGCTGGCGTAATTTGAGTTCAACCAGGAAACGGCCAGGCTCCGTCAACTCCAGATGCTGACAAAATAGGCGCAACATGAACGACAACAGACGGATGGCCAGCCCATTAGGTAGCAAAGTAAACAAAACTATGACCTGTTGTCGATGAGAAAAGTTTCCTTGATAGACGCCATGGTTGGTACTTGATATAAAAGTGCAAAATTTTCGGATGAGCGGATATCGCAAATCTCAAGCAGCCTGCGGCTTTGCTAAGAGGCTAATGATTATAAAAACGCTCCAGAAAAAATACCAGAGCATCATGCCTCCTCTGATACTTACAGGTCAAGAATCTTCTACCATCTGCTAGTTGATTCATTTTTGAAAGTATTAAGGATGCGTCTTCCGAATAAGTTCCCTAGCGCACGAGGCCCCACTTTGTCTTCTCTTGAATAATAGCAAAAAAACACGTTAAAATGAATTCATTACTAAAATAGATTTGTTGTTAATGCAGCATTTAAACCACACAAGGACACACATTGCATCATTGTAAAATCGAAGGTAAACGTATCATCCACAGTTTCACTGCTAATGATTTTATTTGTTCCTCAAAAAATTAAATGCATATTTTCCAAGTAAAATTAGGTTCATTCCATTATCTAGATGTGCTAAGAGATGTTGGACTATATCCGATAGTGTGTAGCCTAAATTGCTATCCAGAGATTCAGTTATCAAGGCGCATTGGTATGTTTCCGTAATTAGTAAAATATTATTTGAAGAAAACTACCTTAAGAATCATATCAGCAACTGTTGCATTGCGATGGAAGTTTTAGCGTAGCTACTTATGTCGCATAATACTTTTATTCTCAGCTGCCTGATAAGCGACTTAAACGACAGTTGCTCCCCGGTTTTCATCACTCATAACCCATGAATGCAAAACCGCATTACTGTTTATGCTGATTATCACTAAAACTGCGATACCAAATACTGGGGTACAGTAAAGATTTTTAATTTCTTTTCATCGTGATATCAAACGACTGAGGCAGTTTCCAATTATTACTAATTCTTCGCTTAATTTCTGAGGCTGTCTGTCCATTTGATGCTACTTTCAGTAAATTTTCGTTCTTAATTTTACCCTTTTGTCGTTACGATCCTTTATGCTTGCTGTTTTTTTTCGATTCTTAACTTTTCTTGGTTTAGGCCGTAATCAAAATATGGCAAAGAACGGTCGTTGTCGTCAGAAACTGTCCGCAAGGGTGGCCCAGCAGAAAGCCAAGCGTACGAACGTCAAGCTGAATCCGTTTGAACTTAAAACAAGTAGACCCAAACTACAAGTAA